GTCGTTCATGGTGTGTTCAATTCACATCACAGTTTAGAAAGGAGGACTGAAATCACACTGAATTGCAGAATACACTATTGCAGAAGGGTCATAAATGGGTAATTAAACCAGGGGCTCCCCTTGAATTGACGTGAAACAGACTTGACTCCTCGCATAATTTGCAAGGTCGTACAGCCATACCTAAAGCTTAGATTGCAGCTCCTGAGCACCCGGAAAACCCATCTCAACATTCCCAGTAAACTCCGGGGCCGCCTTGATAATCCGCATCCATCGGTCAGGAGACAGCATTGGAGCAGTGCAGTATGGCTCAATCTCTAGATTATCAAGATGCTCGTCCAAACGGCGCAGAACCGCATCCAGCGCGTTGCACTCCAGCTGAAACTGGGCATCCCTGTTGATTCCGAGATGCTCTGAGTACCAGGCAGCATCCGATTTCATGACTCCCGCCTCGTATAGGGCCAGTAAATCCGGATCAACATGCGCATCAACTGCGGCCTCATAGGCCATGCGCTGTCCGATTGCTATGACCATAGACCGAAGACGGGGCAGAACTTGATTACCGTACTCGTCACTGCGATGGGTGCCGATCTGTTTCACTTTGTCTCTGAGCTCGGAAATAATGCCTGTCTCATGCTGTGCAAGTGGACAGTTTGGCTTTGTGGGTTCGGGGATGGCGTATTGACCAACAAGAAGCTCGGTGGCGAGGCCTGTTGGATGTCAGGGAGAAATTTCTACTGGTGCGAAGTGAAGAAAATGAAATACGCACGAATTGAGAGAACCAAAATTTCTCCCTCTGCAATACCAATACCACGAGTCAAGGTCTACAAAATTAGTGGGTCGTTCAAGCCGTGGTCGATGGGGTTGAGCCAGCTCACCTCAAACGAGACCATTTGGTTATGGGGGTACAATCCTTGAGCGCCGCTCCGCTCAACAAGATTTGCTAGACTCCACTGCCCATTTTGTAGAAAAGTCGCCTTGAGGATAACCCCCAGACCATGTTTTGCCCCAGGGTGTAGTGCACTATCCGTGCTATAGCGATTTGTAATCCAGTCGGCGAACGCCTCCATGACAGCAATCTGTGCAAGCGAGTGCAAAATTGGGAGCTGCTGTGTTCGGAAGGAGATAATAGGGATGCGTTCCCCACGCACACCGGCTTGGACAGTCCGGCGTTGGCTGTATCGACCGACGCAATATGTGGCACACTTCAAATAGGGAATGATGGCCAGGCTCAAAGCAAGGGCTCCGATGCCCACCCGGTATATGGCTGATAGAAATTGGGTGCGCATGTCGGCGGGCATCGCGAGTTCACCCAGCATTGCATTAGCAGGTAGATGAACGTTGTCAAAAGAGGTTAGACCATGGTCGAGCATCCTGCCTCCTGTTATTTGGGGGAGAAGCCTAGATAGTTGTCTGTAAGCCGGGTCGTTTTATATAGCTGACACCAGTACCTACCACGAATGAACACCTTTATTCATTTCCTTTCCATTATTTACCGGCACGATAAATGCTCGAATGCCGCGGTCCTCCTCGTCAACTATTAGTCGGGCCCAGACAATGGCTACTCGCCGAATCCCATCAATTGGCATGGATGGCGGCATGAACCTACACAAGATCAGCATTACGCAGGGTATAGGGTCTGTGCTGTATGAAGCCTACTTTACCGCCTCAGGTGTAGGCGTATGAAGGATAAAGCTGCCATCATGCTGCAGGGTTGCCGTGGTCTTTAGGTTCCTCGCATCACAACCATGGCCGACTTCAGTAAGCATGAACGGTGTACTGTAATGATTTTGGTCAGCTTTTCAAACGTACACATGCAGAAATACTAACGATATATCAAAATTTAATATGCTTTCCATCAGTGGATGAAGGTCGGGTCTCTTGATGGCAAAAGGCGCCATTGTCCCGACCACCAGGTTGAGTTGGATAGTCACCAAGATATGAGCGATGGGGTCTCGAGCAATGATGCTGTCTTTGTGCACTGCCCAGAATTTAGGGGCCAAATGAAGGACATCCTCGATAGTCAAACCTGGTTTTGTTAGGCTCAATTCGTCGGCCTTGAGATGTACTGACGATGGAGTTGGCCAATTGCTCTGGCTCGGTGGTACGAGCGCTTTAGCTCTTCGATACGTGAAACATCTCCATAGCGATCATCGAAGAGTTTGGAGGAGAGGAGGCTAAGCGAAGACGAATTGGGTGGTGAGTGAGACTGCATGATGATTGGAAATCTGCAAAATAATCTCTAAGATTTTATCCTCGGCAGGCAACTTACTTAGAGGTGACTGCATCATTATTACAACTTTATATACCCATATCTACAATTGCTACCTACCCCTCTAGGTAAACCGAATAGTGATGTGGCCAAAAAGCAATTTATTGTGTGATCAGTTTTGCATACTCGCTAAAAGTCGAACTTACAGTCTGACTTCACGAGTATTGGCTCCAGGCGATGGCGGTTGGACTTAAGATCGTCTGCAGATGGTGGCTTACAGAATGGGTAAAGAGTGCTACCTTCATCAGTGGAGCCCTCATCGCCGGCAGCCTACTAGATTCGTGAAATATTTCTTTTTGTCAGAAGCTGATGAGGAACACCAAATCATCACCCTAAAAGAAGTGTTAATGCGTGTGACGGATTTATCACTGTTGTACAAGTCACTGTGCATTAGTGGCTGGCTGACAGTCTCTGAAGTAGAAGGGGTCATTCAGCGCGATAATTCATCCTTTTTTCTTTTCTCATCTCGATTAATAATTTAACTGCACGCGTCACCGTCACAGTATGACATACCCCCCCTCATTGGTCACTATACCATACTGTAGTATGCAATAGGTGATCAAAACCTGACCAATAGCAGAAGGTGGTGCGATCAGCAGTCCTGGGTTAAATAGGATGCATCTGCTGCATAATGGCGAGCGATTTGCTGTACACCGATCGTCTTGGGACACAAGATCAGGAATATGTTGGATGAATCCTGACTCTAACATATATAATTATGGCCTTGTAAACCTGTGATAATCATATCTAGGAGAAGATATTCGCTTTATAGGTACTTCTTTCTGGAGCATATTTGTATACGCCAGGAGAATTCACCATCTGCCATTCTAACCTCGCGCCACCCACATAATGACTATGACACAAACGTAAGCTTTCCTGGTATTGCACCGTCCAATATATCAAATAAAAGAACTGGGGAGCGTGATACAGACCTATAGAAGCAAACTTCTTTTCCTTGACCAAGCGGAAAGATCGGGTTAATCCAAGAGATGTGCAGGGTATCTTCGATCGCCTCCCAGCCGTAAGCCCCGTGTTTATCTTTGGCGAATGGGGGGCCCATTTGTTGGCGACTGGCCATCCTTCGGATCAACAGGCAGCAGCATTGCTGCCCATCTTCAAGGCTTTCCGTTCCCACACATCTGTGGTAAAAAACTCGTTGGAGGGTAGCGAGAAAAAGCATCTCCCAGGATGGGGAAATTTGTTCGTAGGTCTTGCGTGCTCCCTTTATCTTCACTGCATCATAATGTTGGAGCTACTAAAGTATGTCTGGAGTTGGCCGAATGGCCGTTACGCCCGTAGGGCTGGGAAGGTTACTTAATACCAGTTCATCTGTCTCCTGTCTTGTGATGATGTAGGCTCTTTCCTTTTTCCTTCTCTTCCTACAAGACTATGTCCTGTGAGTAGGCCGAGTTTTCTGGTTCCCAGCACGACTTAAGGGGCATCTAGGAATTGGGGAAGCAGTCCTTTCCCAAAGTATACTCTCGTCATGGGTCTGCTATATTGGGACGCACACTTTGCATTTGGACACAGTTGTCTAGTTGTAGGCAGACACTTGCCAGGTCAACTGAGCCAGTCTGCAATATATGCAAGGCTCAGCCCTCCTGGCGTTTAATATCACATTGGCTCCATGCATGAGGCCAGTGTTGTAAGTGTCTGTATCGCACCATTTTAGTGCCTCAGTTCGGTAATTTGCTTTTTGTGAGTCATTTCAATCCGTGCTGGAGCCGCCATAGCCGTCACACGCATGTTGGCCGATGTAAAAGAGATTATGGACCAAAACAACTGATTTTTCGCTTCGTATTGCCAAGTCCGCTTGGTCTCACCTGTAGTGAAAATTAAGGGCTGGCAAGCCTTCGGAAAACGCAAGGACCTTGCCTGTACAACCATGGATAAAAGCGGTCAACCCCGTATGTGATTCGATATCATTGATACTTCGCAAGTTTTATGGTGAGGGAAGGTACGTTATCTCGGGATGGCGGCCGGGATGAAGTTATGTGTCAGAGCTGTGGCCTTCAATAACGGCTGAAGCCACCCATCTACCTTGGTAGTCGTAGCTGTGCTATGTCTAGTAGCCAAGCGTGTCTCTTTGATTCTTTGTCCTATATTAAGGATGCTTATACCGATTCATATTAGTAGGCTTATAGAGGGGTGAGGGCAATCGGATCAGTTCCAAATGATTGGATGCAGTACCTCATTCTCCCTCATTTCCCAGAACATATCTGACTTCCCAGTGGATTGGCATCACCCACAACTACCAGAACAACAGAGCATTAACGAGTGATCATGAGAATTCACCCAGCCCCGGCTGTCCGGCATCCCACATTCATCAGCACATAGTCACGCGACGAGCTCATGTATAACAACATTCCCTCATTCCTTGATCATCCATCCCCTCATCTCACATTCAGGCCCTCTTCTGCTATTGGTAATATAGTATCTGGTATTAACTATTCATCATGGATGATATGGGTAAGAATATCGCGCTCACCATGGAATTGCATGAGGATCTGGCTCGACAGGGTCGGGATATTTCAAACGAGTTCCTGGTGCCTATAACAACGGCGTAGCACGGTTGATAATGACGACCAAGCCAGAAACCTTCACTCGCTCAGATTCGCGGCGCCATTATATGCTTCGCCTGTGCCAGGCCGAGACAATCCCACCGAAGGCAGTGGACTGGATCAAGAAGCTTCATGACCTTCAACGGACCGGCTCGACCGAAAAATAAGAGATGTCCGAGCTAGAGTATGATGCTTTCAGTGATCTTGCGGTCACTGCTGCCTTTGCTCAGTCTGTCTCTGCTTCACTGGCATTGCCGCCCGTGACAGCTAACAAGGGCCAGACTTACCTGTCCAAATGCAGGAATCTGGACACTGAGCTCGAACCTTTGATAAGGGAGGTTAACTTGTCCTCCAATCCAATCCCAGTCGACAACCTACGCGAACCAGGAATGGCCCATGGCGCTCTCGCTGCCTTAGGTCAACCCGTCATTGACAAGACCGGAGCGGACATAGGCTCTCTGTATCAAGGATCTCAACGAAAGCTGTCTGTTTAAAATCCAGAACAATATGAAAAGCAAAAGGATAAAGAGCAATTTGCAGCAGCAGCCCCTGGTCTGTCTATACCAGAATCTTCAAGATCCAAGATACAGATTGCAGAGCGACGTCAAAAAGTCAAGACGACCGGCACATTCCTCTGTCTATAGCATTGCCCCGACTACGGAGCCTCCAGAGAAGGATGTTGCACCTGAAACCCCAATTTTGAAGGTCAAACCTAGCACATTCGAGATTCTCCCAACTCTCTTCTTCAGATCCGATTTTAGAGGGTCGATTCCCTGGTCAGATCTTGAAGCTGCCATGGGTTGACCTCAACTTTTCGGTGATTCCGAGATTCGGTTCCGTTTATACATTCTCCCCGCCCCTGGAATATGCTGCCCAGAATGCCATCACTTGGTATCGGCCCCATAAGTCTCGAATTGAGTGCTATCGTCTTCTTATACTTGGAAGACGCCTGGGGCGGCGATATTGGTGGAATAACAAGACCTTTGAGGTAGTCTATTGTTCAGAGATGAAGTTCCGATTATCGTGATTGGGTTAAGCGATCCGAACCAAATATTGTGGTTATCTTGTACTACCGGGAGCAAAATATGTTCTGATCATTGATTGTGCAACTACATCATTGTATGAGATTACGCGCTCTACATATGGTCTCCAGAACATTAATATAGGATCGTAAATCAAACGAAATAAATATTTCCATCACTCAATGTTGACTAGTACCTTCCCCTTTAGTACTTAGATGTGTCTCTTTCCATTCTTACAGGAAATATTCTATCCTATTTATACAATTTGCGCCACCTCTATAAGTATTAGACTCAGGCATCTACAAATCCTCACACCTCTTCACCTCCGTCACCGGCCCATCGTAGTGGTGTCTCCCCTGAACCACATACATAACCAAACTCACCCAAAATACCGCCACGAAAATCACCACACTCCAGTTAAACGTCTCAGTCGTAACGGGTGTTGACTCCGGCCAAAACGACCAAAACAGAGCAAACAGTACGTACAACCAGCCAATGATATTTACCGCCAGACCATAACGTCCTAGCCCCCAGCGAGCAGGGGGCAGAGTATGCGGGTGGAAGATCTTTCGCCAAATCAGACAGCTCATGGAGATGGAGTAGGAGAACATGAGGGCCGCGACGTTGAGGGAGACAATGGCGTTGAAGGCGGTCTCGGAGCCGATGTTGATTAGGGATAGTAGAGCGCTGATGATGCAGCTGAGGATGATGGAGTTGACTGGTAACTTGCGCTTTTCGTCGACTTTGGCGATCCAGTTGGAGAATGGGAGCCCGCGATCGCGAGCGAAGGAGAATGTTTGTCGTGCAGTGGAGGCGTTGAAGAGTATGTTGCTTATTATCACGGGAATGAGGATAATGGCAGTTAGACCATTGACGCCTGCTGTGTTGGTCGCTTGTTTGAAAACGTAGATGAAGGGAAAGCCGGTGTCATCGTTGAGTGAGTCTTCAACTGATGGTGTTGCGAAGAGCATTGTGATGAGCACGACTAGTGCTAAGATAGCGTTGGCGAAATAAGACCAGGTGATGGCAATAGGCACGTAACGGCCTGCATCTTTGATTTCCTCTGACATGTGGGCCGTTGCATCGCAACCTGTATTTGTCAGTGTTGATATTTCCATTCGTTGCGAGTATACATACTGAGACAGCCATAGATGGCCGCAAGCTGGCCCACCATCACAGTTAGACCCATGGATGACCATCCACCGAAGTTCTCAAACTTCGTGAACACTGCTTCAGCAGGCTGTAGCGGGGCCAGAACCCAAAGTGTCACCACAACAACCAGCCAGCAGAGGACGTGAGTTGCCAGAAGCACATTTTGCATACGGGCCATGAATCCCGCACCGTATATGTTGAAGAATAACGCAATGAGAATCATCGCAAACACAAACAATGTGCCTTGCCATCCAGTGGGGTCGTAGTTGGGGTCGCGGACGCTAATCAGGCCCTGGATGATGGTTCCAGTCAAGAATGAGCCCGATGCGGTTCCTGCCTGCCACGCCAAAACAGACATCCAGCCAGTCACGTAGCTAAGGAATTTCTGGTAGCGGGGAGATGCAAATTCGGAGACCCAATGGTACTGGCCTCCAGAAGTAGGCGCCCTAGAGGGTTAGTTGCTGTGGTGATATGTATAAAGACGGGGCAGTTTACATCGAGGCCATCTCAGAGATAGAGACGATGATGAACCCAAATCCAATGGCGCTCCAGACATAGGTCCACAGCATACCTGCCAATCCACCATCTTGCAGCCCTTCATAGTCCGACCTGCTAATGTTTAGATCCTGAAGGGAGTAGCGAAAATTCTGGTTGCCTCACAGCATGATGTACTCCCACGTAGACTGCAATACGGCCGAAAAACTGAGGGCGGCAAAAGACTGGATGTTTCGCTGCGATCCTATTAATTAGCTGTGCGGTATTGTCTGGGAGCTGCATATCTACCTTGAACTGCTGGGTCTTTCCCATCCGATCCATTTCAGTCACGTCGTAGCGTGTGCCGTTGATACCATCCTCCTGACTGGAAGCATCGACTTCTACAGTGTGCGAGCCAGTAACTACGGATTCCTTGGCAGCATCCTGCTGCGTGTTCTGGGTGAAGGCCATCCTGCACACTTCGGACTGAGCCTGAAGCCAGGGAATATAGAGACGGGACCAGTAAAAATCACAGCAACGAAGCCGGAGAGAAAATTGCGAAGAAGAAAAGGTGCAAGGAGTCCCAGGTAGCCGAGTTCCCCTCACCTTATCAACATCCTGGGCGTCAACTTCTTAGCTTTACATTAGTGGTGGCCCTAGCAAGAAACGGCCCGCCACCCGGCCCTGCACCAAGCATATTGGCTGCAGGGTGTACGCGGCACGCAAAAGCAAAGCGCAAATTCTGATCCTTGTCGGTGCATTAGTTCACGGTCGCTCCGACGGCTGGACTGAGGTGTTTTCGCGCAGTTGGAAAGCATCTTAACCAGCCCATGTCTGACCAGGATCTCCTCTTAAGCAGTTCTGTTGGTCTGTGCCCTTCTTCCGCAAGTCTCCACCTTTTTCTTTGACTTGGTCAAGTGTCCGAGCAGATCTGACCCTTTAATCTAGCGAAATGTTTATCCGCTATGCAGTGAGCCAGGGGGCGGTGGGAGCTGAAAATAGCGTGCACATTGCAATAAAACTAATTAGACTAATGGCCTAGTCTAGACAATTCTTCTCAACACCAGTGACAAAGCTAAGGAAGCGCTTTCGCAACGAACTGCCCTTAGCTTTCTTGGCGAGCCATGCCAATTTAACGCTTATCTTCCATTTTCTTACTTGGCCGAGCTTCCGTTGGAATTGAACAGTACTCGCCAATAGGTGGAGATGAGTATAGGATCGCTAATTATTCTTTAGGTTCTACCCTTTCTGGGATACAAATTCACAAAGTGTACATTAGAGGTGATATACACCGTGGCAGACTCCTGTAGACCCCTATTCACGCTCTCAGCCCCACCTAGCTTTATTCAGGGTAGGTCTTCCTCATGCGGCAACAGCAATCAGTAATTTTCATCTCAATCGTGGACTGGTGGGTCCAATCTGTATCTTCAAAACGAAGCCAATGACAGACCAGACTGGTCATAAGAGAGTCGCAGAAAACATAATCGGCATTACATGTAGTGTTTTGCTCATTTTCGACAGCACAAAGATGATATTATCCCTCTGAAGTGAGTATGTAATAGTACTCTCTATAACCTTGCCAGTATATCTATTTTCAAATTAGCTTCAGTCTCCTTCCTACTCCTCCGAACAATCTCTCCTGCCGGTAGTATTTCTCTCACCAAGCCAACCGCAGTGCCCGCAAACGTAGCTAGTCGCCCATTAGGTCCATAACCTGGGTTACCCTTCTTCAGAGCATCTTGGTACAGATCGTAATTTTCCTGCTCAGTCACCTTACCTGTCACAAAGTCTCTGTGCGTTTCGTTCACAATCCCTCGAGGAGAATATTTAGGCGGCCAGCGGAGTAACCCTCGTACCCGGTCATAAACAGCCGAGCGAATCGTATGAACCCCGCCGTCACTAGCATCGAGAATGGCTTGTTGGTATCCCTTTGGTATGGAGACTTCGAGCGAGGCTAGGAAACGAGTTCCCATCACTACCCCTTCAGCGCCTAAGGTAAGAGCGGCTGCCACCCCTCGACCATCTACCAGGCCACCTGCTGCAACGATTTTTGGTTTTATCGGACCGTTCGGTATGACCGAAGTTTCCGCACTCAGCTGGTCAATGACTTCTGGAACCAAAGACACAATACTAGCAGAATGTTGCAATCCGTGACCCCCGCCATCACTGCCCTGCACGACAAGCACATCAGGATGTAGCTTAGCTACAGCATCAAGCGCATCCTCGACACTTCCCACCTGCACCCAAATAGCCACACCCCCGCCAGTTTGGGCCCGGATCCCCTCCACCCAAGGAACCTGATCTGCAGCACTGTTAGATGGCGCAAACAGCCACACAGCACATGGACGGTATCGCACGATGAGTGGCAAAGCCACCTTGATATCAGCTCCCCAGCTTAGGAACCCGACACCAACCGGTAAGTTCGGGCCCTCATATAGCTGGAGGCGGTTCTGGTCGAGAGAGCCTCCCGCTGCCTTATACTCTTTCACGAGCTGTTCGGCCTTCTGGAACTTGCTTTCTAGGTTTGACACGTCATTTCCACCAGCAATAAACCCTATTCCTCCAGCTGCGGACACAGCTGTGGCTAGCTCGGGGCCAGCGATGTTCAACATGGGAGCTTGTGCTATCACTGGTGCTTTGGTCCATGGGTAGGTTGTTTGAAAAGTAAGCCTATGATGCATGATTATGGCGATGGATGAAGGTGCGACTGAAACGTTGAGCTGGCTTCCGGAAACTTTAATTTGTATTGAACGGTCATCGGCATAGCAAGTTCCCTGATGGAGGTGTGGTGGGTGGCTGCTTGTAAAGGAATGCTGGATGATCGACCTCTTCCCCGCTTTCTTTCTCTTCTTCCCCACCAGCCAAAGGCGATCAGACACCCGAGAAACAAGGCACCGACTAATGGGGTCCCTCCCGCCAGACCCGCAATATCCGCACTGCTGTGCCCATTCTTGACGTCATAAGCCAACTCTTGACATGATTTTGAATGCATCTTTCTGAGATGTAGCCTGTTTCATTCACATCTCACGGTTATCTGTATGAGAGAGAGAGCAATTTCCACCCATACTATGCCATCAAACCTCTCAACATCCTGGCATCCAGTAATGTGTGACTCCATGGAAGATATATGCAGCAATCAGGAACCAAGATACTGCACCAACATCTACCACAAGAATGTCAGAGCGTTATTAAGCTTGGTCTATCCTTGATTCAAGCAAATGAGTTAGTAACGTTTTGAGTGAATTGTTGACCTGACTATGAAGAGTTTTGGAAGAGATTTTGGTAGTGTTCTTCCTGTGGGGCATCAGTTTGAAGCCTGAGATGTTGACTGTTTACCTTCATGACTAGTGTTTCTATGATAGGCTCTGCGGCAATCAATAGAGTAATATTTATTGTGCCCGAAATGATATCCGGTGGACTTCTGTATAAAACGCAACAGATCATGTCCTATATGTCCATCTCTAAATGAAGCCAACCAACTTCAATAAGGAAAGTGATTTCTAAACGCGTACATGACAAATAACTTATTCTCGATGGTAGAAGTACTTGTTATGTTAGGGAAGTCAATGTCTATTCGAATAATAGCGTAGCCCAACCCTATCTCATTACAACAGCCAGCTCGTCGGATTGATAGACTTCCCAGATTGCATCGCATATAGCTGCATGGAAGCTCCCGTAGAATACTGACGGGTTAGCATACAGCAAAACCGGCTGTCTCCAAGCATTGGAAGCTCCCGGCAATTCACTGGAAGAAGTTATCACCTTCAGCAGAATATGGAGCAAGCCACCTCCCATTGCTCCAACCTAGCCGGGTCTTACCAAGTTAATCACGATAATTTTCAACACCTCCCCTTTCACAATGCCTATAAGAACGCCTCTTTTCAATTCTCCCTTGGCTTAGCATAGACATCTGTGTATTGCAAGCAAGTCTACTGCCTACACGATGGCAACCAGCGCATCCACTGATAAGCCTGAGCTTGTCTCCTGGGAAGTGCACCGAGAGAACAAATTCGTTGCCAGTGTGGCTAAGGTTCTCACCTATCATAAGATACCATGCGTCCTGATTGGTCAGGCCTATCATAAAATTATTGGAATTCCTAGCAAAATTCATGTAAGGTAAACGGATTCCCTGAAATGGATAGATGCTAAGTTTAGACCCAGACTATTAGTTTCGCAATTGAAGATGGAGACCTTGAGCGGGCTGGAAAGCTCCTAGACGAGGAAGGGCTGTCACGTCAGTGCAAGAATGGAAGTCGCTGCCGCTATTCTCAGGCCAGATTCTGCTTCAGCAACCCCGAGCCCGACTTGCTATTCCACGTGGATGTAGTTCAGGGCAGGACGCCACTTCCTGAAGCCGGGCATCTCAGCCTCTTTAGCAAAGACAAATGGCTTCCTCATGTTCCCGCCCTTAACCTTGGCCCTCCGGGTGACAGTAATTCTTACTTCATTTTGGCAAACGATAGGCGCCTGCCCTCTTGGTGTGAGGAGCATCGCAGAGCGCGTAGAGATGGCGACCGGGTTACCGCGTCCAAGTGTGTCTGTGGGCTTATTGTTGAACCAGAATACACAGGTGGTCGATATAGGGATAATCTTCCTCCCGTTAATATTCTCCGTCCCGCCCGTCTCATCGAAACGTGGGTGCGCTCTCAATTCAACGAATGGCTCATAGAGTACCACCGGGATGGCGAGGCTGGTGACGACCAGGGACGGTTCTGGAACGGGCTGTACTCCTTCGAAGCCTATAATTTGTGGAATCCTAGTGCGTTCGAGCCGGAGTATCGAGAATGGTGGGCATACGTACGTCTTACTGTCGATTGGGTCCGAGGTAAAGCAGCACCCGAAAGACGAGATGCGGCCGCGGCAGCTCGAGAAGCACGAGTAGGACTTCAGCGTAATCGGGAGCAGTTGATGAAACGGCTCAAAGAGAGTGAAAAGATGCTTCCTTGTATTGGTGTCAGCCCAGTCTAACCGGCTGCGGCTTGATGGCTCGGCGTTTTCTCCATCTGCTTTTAAATGCGCGGTGGCAGTGTGCCAACTTTGCTTACTTGGATTTCGTAGCTATGAGAATTCCCAGTGACATTATTAGCCAGACGCGAAGCGTTATTTAGCTGATGGAGGTTGAAGAAATGAATTGCTTTCCTAGGAATGAGAGAGAAAAAGGTAGAGACAGGGAGTATGACAGCTCAGATCTACCAACGTAGGGCCCTAATTAATCCAACGCCGCCTTGTGTTTTGATGACTCATCTATGTCACGGCACAACTTGCTCCGGACCCAATTTCGGATGCCCATCTTCCATCTAACCATGCTTCCTGCCATCCGCAAGCAGTTTCTCTTTCCATAATTCGCATCCACCACGAGCCTTGATGCCAACCAGACGCATCTGGGGGTGCGCTCAACGCGTGTCTCCCGATCTTGCCGGGCGGTCATCAATTATCGGGGGGTCTACGAGCCCGCGTCTGCCATCGGTGCGGTTCCAAAGCCACATTCTCTCCCGAAATATCCACACCACTGTTCGGAACACAAGAAGACGCACTATACCGTACCGTCATTTGCATCAACCTCTATACTTTAGTAGCAGTCATCAGTCACGCACCATTTTTACTGAGTCCATACCACCAATCCTGATACCTCCCGTCATCTTCACGGGTCTCCTCCTCTCCCTATGGACCTGGAAATGCTTCTGGATTGTAGTGATGCAAGAAAAGCTTCTCTATCTCACATGGCTGCCACCGTTCGCACGAGCCGAAAAGATCTCCGACTATGAAACTGAATGTAGGCCGGTGCGCTGGCAAGCGCACCAAATTCGGAGTCGCGATGGTACAAAACTATCAGTATGCGAAGGTCGCATTCCTGTTAAAGCCACTTCTTCTGGAAGCATTCAGCAGACGAAAAATCACAGTAAGAAGAAATTAGTAGTGATTTGCTACTTCCAGGGCAACGGTGGCTCAACTCCCATGCGTTTGCCCCTTCTATCGCAGTTCCTGCGCGCAATCTACGCCTCTCCTAAAACTTCTCCTGCTGCTTCAGCGTCTGAAGAGAAGGACTACGTGGTAGTAGCTCTCTCCTACCGCGGATTCTGGACATCTTCTGGTCGTCCTACCCAGCACGGTATTGAGCTCGATACTCAAGCTTTTCTTGATTGGGTTACGGAGACCTACACTGCCCCGGACACAGATCTCCAGATCATGCTGTGGGGGCATAGTCTGGGTTCGGCGATTGCGACCACTGGTCTCGCTACGTATCTTCCGCGGTCGCGCAATGCAAATTCCCAATCTTCGGCTCCTATTGCTGGGATGATTCTCGAGGCGCCTTCCTCCAGCGTCAAGGACATGCTGATTAGCCTCTATCCCCAGAAATGGTTGCCGTATCGATATCTTTGGCCGTTTTTGCGGAGCCATTGGGATACTATCCTTGCTATGGAGCGGATGACACGCTGGAGGGATGATCTAAATGATGAATATGAATACAGTGCGGATGGCAATGGTGGCGGGGCCACATTGCCACCAGTCCTAATATTGTCTGCCGAGAAAGATGAAGTCATTCCCCCACATGCAGCAGATGAACTGGAACGGGAGGGCAAACGACTCGGCCTGGATATGTCTCGAAAACATGTTCTTGGGGCTCTTCATACGGAGATCCCGGTCAAGGCGAGTGGGAGAGATGCTATGGTAGAATTTATCGGTCGATGTACGTCTAGCCCCACGGGGGATAGGCGTGATGTTACTTAGTACCTACAGGAAATTTGCCGGTCAATTGCCCATAACATCTTCTGGAAAGAATTTATCTCATGTTACTTTTTCGGGTAGTGTTAGCTTTGTATACACAACCCTAGATCAAGTCCTCAAATCCACCATTTCAGGCTGCACCAATACACAACTCATTCTCCTAGTGCAAATGATTAGAAATCCTCCATTCGGAAAACACTATACGATGGCTGTTCATATGGATGTGCCCTATTCCGCCAGTCACTAATCGACCACGTTCCACATCCAGAGAAAAAACATACATCTTCAACGCCTCCACAGCCAGCCGTGCAACATCCTCACCCACACAAATCGTCTCAACCCTCACCTCTGGGGTCTCCTCCAAAGCCCCCACGGTCCCAATATGTGGGTTGGCAGCATCACCGGGTCGGAACTGTCCCGTACCAGCGGTGGTCCAGCAACACTCTGTATACTTCCCGCCTGGGTAGCGGCCCGCGCCGGCAGCGAAGATGGCGGCTTTGCAGGCCGCAAGGCTGGTCGGGGGAACATTGAATATGAGGCGGAATTGGGTGGGAGACATGTTCTGATGGGGTGGTTACTGGATATGCTATGACTTTTCGCCAAAACAGATGAGGGGAAGACGAGGATGATGGTTTGGGTTATGGAGAGAATCGATCTTGAGGCTGTGTTTGACCCCTCACGCTTGCCTAATGCGGAATGGTGGCTATACGCCTGGAGGCAGGGAAGGTCTTTCGGTGTAATTCAAAATAACAGCACTTATTGAAGAGACTTATATGATAAAAATGCTGTGGACTTCATTGCTTTTGCCTATGTGTACATACTGGGACTCAGTTGCTACATCCTGTTACCCTACCCTGCAGGTCCTGGTCGATCCCCCGTGGCTCGTTGCAGATCCGACTTGCTGAGAACCCTTCTGCTACTATAGAATCATTCATCAGACTTCGCTACTCAAACCATTTCAGTCCCCATCCGACGCAATCTAGGTCCATACCGACCCAGCAGAAACGGGATCGGGACCGCCACCAAACAAATGAACGCCAACAACGTCGATCCCCTAGACAAACAACTATTAGCAACTCTAGGTCAACCTGTTCATACAGTTTATACATACCACCCATACCCTAACCTCCTATACAGCTGAAACCCTACCACCGAAAACACCGCCGCAACAATAAACCTCGCCACCACAGCCGCAGCCAGCGCACTAGCTGCATACTCCTCGAACGCATCGACCAAATACGACTGTACACAGATATACGCCGTGACCATGCCCAGTCCCAGGATCGCAGCGCCCACGAGCGTCACGATCCAGTAGACATGGTACTCTGCAGTCCACCCGAAAATTAGTAGACCAATGGGCACGATCAGCATACCTACTTGCATAAATGGCAGTCGGAATTCGGGCATGCGGGTCGCCTTGCCGGTCTTTTGTTCGTAGCGGGCAGCAAAGTACCGGTATGACGGGTTGGAATATTTCATGCAGAATGCGACGCCTGCGAATGCGCCGAGCCCGGCGCCGAGGAAGGCTAGGCCGGTGGTTCCATGTGTCCAGTGGTAGCTGTGGAGGTTGTAATTGGGTTGAGAGGCAAAGAGGAGGGTTATCGTTACCATGTGGAGGTAAAGGAGGCCGAATACTCTGTTTCACTAGTTAGTGCTTCGCTGCTGGTCAACGGGGATATTCAGTCACATACAATGCCAAATAGAGACTCACAAATGTGCATATTGGCGAAAAGAAGAGAAGGCGTAGTGGACGTAGAATAGACTGTCGGAAGACCTGAGATGCTTGCGAGCCCACCTCAACCCGGTAAGTGACCCCAGGATTCGACTTTTCAAGGGCTCTTTTCCGACGCTGCAGCAAGGCAGGCGCATATGTTTCCTTCTGAAAGAGAACAGCAAGACCGGTGGCTACACCAGCGGCTATAGCGACCACCCACATCATCCATCGCCAGCCTTGAGTGCCGTAGGCGATGAACCCACCAATAACGCCCCCAAGGACCGGACCACAAATAGGCCCCAGACCATAGACTGCTTGAGCCTTCCCCCGTTCCTCGTGTGAAAACAGATCCCCGATGCTGCTACCGCCTAGACTAGGCCCCGCGGAGCCAGCCACGCCCGCTAGGAAGCGTAGGACAACCAGTCCGGCCATGTTATGGACCAATGCACAACCGACGTTGAGGATAGTGAAGATAGCGAAGCAGATCGTGTAGATAGGACGACGGCCAAAAATCTCCGAGCATGGTGCCACGCCTAACGGTCCCAAGGCCAGGCCCACGAGATAGAAGGCGATAGGAAGGGCTGGGGTATAAGGGCTCGTTAGACGGAACTCGCTTGCGATGTCGAATACCCCTAAAGTTAGTATTGTTGATGCGATTGGTGAGAGCGTTCCTTGGAGGGATATCAGAAGCACGTTGAGCCATTTCCGGCTCTTTGGCCAGTTTCGAGGACACTCTGGGTCGTCTGGTCCATTCCAGTCCTGTCAGGTGTTTGGTTAGAATTGGGGTTATCGCTTTAGCCAAACAATGCGATACTCACAACAACAATATCGGAGGCGGTGCTTCCAAATTCTGGAATTTTTTCTGTGGTTTCGAGAGGTCTGCTGCTGCCCGATGCAGATTGCTCTTTTTCATCTTTCTCGATCATTGTGTTGTAGATGAGACTCGAACGTGAAGAGTCACGCCTGTTTAGGGGACAATTTTAGAAGTACATCGACCGATCTAATGTTAGGTGCCTGACAGAAAATGGGGAGCAAAACTGCATAAATATCCATTGCCATTCGCCCCAGGCTGTCTGTAAGAATAAGTCTTTGTACAGAGTAGTGCGCTATATGCTCGAAGCTTAATCCGCTGGATTATTATGCCCGTTGCCAAGCGAAATCGGTCCCTCCCTGGGCAACGTCCCATCCATCAGAGGCATCCATACGCCACGATTCAACAACCTGTCCCACGATATGTTGAACAGAATGTACCCAGGCATTAAGTTTAATTTCAATCAAGACGGCCCGTCAAGCTTACCCAACATCACTAACAAAGTTTAGCCGAGAGTTTACGTATGCCCGAAACTTTCAGCACAAGCAGCATTGAAGCATATCCCAAAAGCCAGGCATGACGGATTTTGTTTGGAGAATACATTGCTTCTCAAGACTGCACGGCATCAAGGGTAGACCCCTGTAATTGTCTCTAACGGCTGCCAGGAGCATAAACCCCGTCATTCGTTCCCGGGCTGCAGGCATAAATTGTTGCTGCGAGTAGCCGCTGAGCCGGGTTCTAGTCACGTCGTACAAATCTGGAGATACATCATGATGCGGGCTGTATATTTCCACCCAACTATTACACGATCAGCAAGGTTCTACTAGCGTTGGGTGTGGCGCACGGGTAGCGAGGCCTCCACCGGTATATTGGACGAATAAGGATATTGCTAGCTTGGAAAGATGCAACACCACATAATCGTATCATCCGATGGATTTTGAACGGTCGTTACAACTGTCGGGTAGATACATGGCCGCAGGGATGAAGAACAAAGGGGTAGGGAGAGATGCTGAAAATGAAGCGAACAAACAATCAGATCACCTGATCACCCCTACCCGAAGATGATCGACTTGTCAGCGAGCATAAAATTATATGACTGAATAAATTAGAATTAGAATTAAGCATTCCACCAATTTTCCAAAGTTACATAGTTCATCATTCATTCCACACGCCGTCCCATTAAGGCTCCCGCACGAAAGTGCCCACCCACTCCCCCCAAGCCAACACACTCTCCTTCTCCTTCTCCAACCACTCCAACAGCTCCTCCTTCCCCCAAGGCTTCTCCTCCAGCGGCTTTCCCAACGCCAACACCTGAAAGAAATACCGATGGGAGCCGTGTCCCAATACCGGCCGCGGCCCACTCCACACATTCTGGTGCCAGTTCACCCCGTACTGGAATCCCCCCTGTAATGCCCTCTTGCTCGCATCTGTCACGGTGACATCGTCTGAAGAGATAGTAGTTTTGTCCTTGGAAAGTCCGTAGTACAGCCCATGCACTATTGGATTCGGAAGCGGGGCATCCGCATCCTCCACGACGAGCACGTAGCTGTTGATTTTCTCCGCGGACACCGAGTCGTTGGGTACCGTCCAGGAAAGAGGCGGGAAACGGTTCGCGCCGACTTGGGTGTATTCTGCGGGTAGTGGAGATTGCGACGGGCCCACGGACGAGGTTACCGCGATGGTGGGCTGAAGGGCTTGAAGGACGGGGCTGGTGCGCGTGAGCAATTTCGCGTCGCGGCCTCGTTTGTTGCGCAAGAGACGGCCCAGGAAGGCCTCGAGGCGAGGAGGGAGTTTTTCCATGGCTAGATTGGTTGGGTTTGGGCCGGAGATTGTTGAAATGTGGAAGTCATTAGCTGGATTTGAGTTGGGTTGGCCGATACTATTTAACTGTCGATGAAATGTAGATAACGCCCCTATTGCATGTCGGGCCCGATAGCGGGCCGCACTTGGAAGGATTAGGAAAACAATGTATCTTAAAAGCCAATATCCGGGCAGGAAGAAGTGAAGGGCTCAAGACCCACCAGGGCCGTGCAGAGAGATCTTCAAGAGCTTTTAGCCGTCCTGGTTATCGGACCGTGCAGAGAAATATATTCCGGTGGGAGATAGGTTGAGTTTGTTGGCCAATCTTGAATAGTTTGCGATGATCATCTGACGATGGCGTGCCAGCCAAGGACGGCGCCATCGGTAAACCATGGGCTTCGTATCGGGACTTTCGGAGTTTCCCAATGGAGAAATGAGATAGGATCTGTTAGGGTGGAGAGTATGAGAGGTTGAAGCATATCCCTCTCCTAAACCCGCTCGTTAATGACTATGTAAGCTTACTCAACCTTATCATCCACATGCACATTCGTTGGGGATGGAGGAAGGAGAAAGGATGGCGCGGATGGATGATTGACTCTACCTCTAGTCACTGTTAGTATAGAGGGCTAAATTACTGAGCTCTTTTCAACAAGTCGTCTCGATGGTGTAGTTGGTTATCACGTGGGTCTCATACTACAGTATGACGTGGAAGCATAACTTCCATGCGATCCCAAGGCCGGGAGTTCGAACCTCCCTCGGGACAGATCTTTTTTCTCTTTTTCTTTTTGCTTTCCCCAAGTACAATCAAATTTTCTTCCCTTCATCAATTAAATCAATTAACCACACCCACTAGATTCCATTGCCAAGCCGTCCTTCGTAGTCAGATGCATTGTCAGACATTCCGTTTGCCACATAGTAGCCTTTTTTTCTTCCCGATCCACCATGCCGACTGGAGGGTGAATGAAGCTGATCTTCATCTACTAGTAACTCGCAAATATATATTTTTCAATTACTAGTACCACTAGTACTACTACATAGTAATCAGTGGACAGGGTCATTGTTAGGTATGATCTACCACTTTCTCTCCTCATAACCCTTGCCAGCCCTGTCGTCATCTGCTACACGACCTTTTTTCGATTGAAGCAGCGTATAGGATACTCTCCTCCCACGTGGCCATACAATGTGCCCAGGTGAAGTCCGTCCACGCTGCGCTGCCAATCATCACCACACATCAATCTCAGTGCGGCCGGGTTGTGCACTTGGAAATCTAGCTGTCAACCAAGAACAACTCGAGAATCTCTTGCTCTCCAGGCCTTTTAGCTTGTATCACGGCTCTGGAGACAGCGTGCCCACCCAGCACCACTTCCCCGGTGAGATTATGCGACATCACAAATCTGCTATGCAGGGTTAAACCCTCCGAGGGACATTTGCGAAGAGCGCAATGATAGAGGCCTTCTTGCGGCGCTTAAGCAGCCGGCTGGCTTAACGGAGGATCTTCAGGTATTGGCAAAGCAGGAGCAGGACAAATCATGAATTGGAATCAAGCATTGCGATTGACGCTGGGTTGACCAAGATCGATCTATGTGAGGTGCCTATTTTGCAACTTGAAATAACTGCATAGCATGCGCTAGCTTGAACTTCAAGGGTTTCGTACTTTGCTCATGCTCTAATGATTTCCCCAATGTCCTCGAGGCACCTGTCTATGCAACGCAGGTTCAACATAGTCGGAACAATCGGACAGGAATTTGCATCTATATCCAGTGTACCAAATCCCTCCAACCCCAGCGATGAATGATCGATGTACTTTCCTGTTCTCAGAAGCGTATTAAGGCTCTAATTGGACTACTTGGACCCTGGAAATCTTTCATCGGAGCCTGGGCAGGGTTGCGGGTAATGCTCTTCCGCAGTGGAACTAACGGCTAATGCCCTTCCGCGGTGGAGACTCGAGACTCAAGTTCGGAAAGACCTTGTGTCGATTTAGGTAGCGATGGTTGTAATCAGGACTAGTATGGCAGTTAATTCATCTATATTTTGAGGAGCTGGAATTTCAACTGACCAACTTGATGTGCTGGAAGATAAACCAGCCCGCTGTAGTATCCCTTAGGGGTAAGGTGCTTCCTCCACTAACCCCCGGTAGGACGTGTTAGACAGGACACTAAACACATTGATTATAAGCACAGGGTCTAGTCATGACTATCCGCTCTTCGAACTCTGTAAATATGCGAGGAGTTTAAAACCCCGTGTGCCGTTCTGAACCACCCACTTCAGGTCGGTATCCTTAAAGCCAACTATCATCTATACACCTAGCGAACCACCATGACCCCAGCCACGCTTTCAATCTTCCGTAAGGGCGCAACAGCTCTGATTACAGGAGCTGCATCCGGAATCGGCCTCGCCACAGCTCAGCGATGCTACTCCCACGGTATGAACCTCGTGCTCCTCGACCGGGACGCCACCAGACTCTCGCAAATCACCAAGCACCACTTCCCACCGGAAGGAACAAGCACGATCACAACCCATGTTATCGACGTCTCTTCAAGACTTGAATGGCAACAGCTAGCGCCGCAGATCAAATCATCCCACCCACAGGGCATCGACTTCCTCATGTTAAATGCCGGAGCCGGGTTCACACCCCAGGAAGGGAAAACATTCTGGGATGACGCGGAGTACTTCGAGAAGACCTTTGCCGTCAACACTCTGGGCTACACAAATGGGCTCGCTGCACTCCTGGACAGCGTGATCACAGTTGATAATAAGAATGAAGCTGAGCGAGCAATTGTCTTGACCGGGTCTAAGCAGGGAATCACGAACCCGCCAAGTAACCCGGCATATAACGCGTCGAAAGCCGCTGTTCGGACTATTGCAGAACATCTGTCCTTCGATATGGCTAAGGCTGCACCCAATGTCAGCGTTCATTTGTTGATTCCAGGGTGGACGTACACTGGCTTTCATACTGCTGCGTTTCGAGAAAAGCCCGCAGGGGCGTGGATGCCGGAGGAGGTGGTTGATTTCATGGTTGAGAAAATGGCAGAGAAACGGTTTTATATTCTTTGTCCGGATAATGAGGTTAGCGAGGAGCTGGATAGAAAACGTATTCTCTGGACCACGTCCGATCTTGTCGAGGGTCGGCCACCTTTGACAAGATGGAGAGAAGACTGGAAAGAGAAGGTGAGGGTTGGAATGGAGCATGTCTCGCTCAATGGGATGGATAAGTTGAATTAAAGAAACATTTGGAGATAGTTTAATGCTCTACATAGGGTGAAATAAAGAACAATCCGGTACATACGACCACAGGGTGTGGAAAACAGGGCTTCCCGTCCGCTCAGCCGTACTTAAGCCACACGCCGGGAGGTTAGTAGTTGGGTGGGTGACCACCAGCGAATCCCTTCTGTTGTATGTTTTTCTCTTTTTGCATTTGTCTTCTGCCCTTCACTGGTAGCCCAGTTTCCTTGAATTCGCTCTTCTCAATTTTGGCCTCGATGCTGTCGTTTTTCCTTCCTCCCGTTGAACAGAAACTTGGTGACGCTAACCACCGTCACCCACTTCCCATTAAAGAGAACCTTCTCCCGCACTGGGATGTCCCTCATAAAGACCGTCCAGGTGGTGGCACGAGTGCCATCTGTGCTGCTAATCAGATAGCGCCGGAGACTTCAAGCTCTTTAGTGTATGCTATGCTAGTGGGATACTATCTACCCACATTTGCGAACTTTGTGGTTCCAACGGTTGAATCACGGCGCACGTACAATGCCGTTTGGCAACTGTTTCCTGTCGTAGTACCTCTGCTACAGGCTCCCTTGCATCGTCTAGTCAAGACATGTTTCAGAAGTAAGAACAAGACACAACAGAAGGAAGAACGTAAGAAGAGTATGCGTTACGCCCGGTACGCATATGGCACGTTCGCTTTGCTCTCTGGACTTACGTACCTTCACGCTCGATACTCTGCGCCAGATCATGCTTCGTTCGCTAGTGCCTTTTTGCCCGGGTTGAGAGGCCACTTGGAGCCTGTCACCTCATTTTCTGACGGGATTGCGAGGTTCCTCCAGTATGATGAAGTGATATCCATGGCTAGTGGGTTCATTTGGCTCACGTTGAAATTCAAAGAATTGAAAGATGCTGGGGTCTCGTTCTCTTGGTTGAAGGCTGTTGGGGGACTGGTGGGGACTACGGTTACGCTTGGCCCTGGAGCTTCGTTTGCGCTGGGTTGGGGCTGGAGAGAAGAGATGATGCATAAATTGGTTGGTGACAGACAGTAATTGGTGTTTATCTTGACGGGATACAGCATCTGTTGTCTGTATGTGCTTCGATCTTCATTTCGCTACGTGAGGATGAATGCGGTGATCCGTCTCTGTAATGTTTCTTCGAACTAGTAGTTTCCACGTACGTAGATTTTGAGTTTGGTTTATTTTCGGTTGGATTGGGTATCGTGGTCTCCAACAACCCCGAAATACGAACGACGCCACGGCCAGTCTTTGAGCCCATATGTTCTTGGCCGGCGGTTGAGCTCGTACCCTGGTGGTCGAAAGCATGGCCGATTTTGGTATATAGCTAAACCAGACGGCTTAAATATAAGTAAAGTTGGTATAAGAAGGAATAGAGACCAGTATATAGGTATCTGGTACTGTCAAACAGTAGAAAGGGGATAGCCAGGTGCGAAGGCGATGGTCTTTTGTCTCCTGCAAGCCTGGGGCAAGGACGCCTTTGCGGACGAATCGACATTGCACTTTCATCTATAACAAGGACATAAAGTGTGGGCCTAGTAGATTTGATCCTGGGTGTCATTCGCTGCTGTCCTTGAGGTTGATAAGTTATTATTGCTTGAATGTGATTATGTACACGAGCAAAGAAGCAACCTCATCACTGCACGATGTTCGTTTCAGTTGTATGAGTGGAAAGTTCTCCATGAGCCTTTATAGGTGGTCCTTGCCCCCAGAGAAATTGTTGGAGCAATATGCCAGTCCTTAGAAAGCTTCAAGGGCGCCTTCAATCATAAGACGGTGAATAGGAAGCTGCAACCAGCTGGATCTCACGATCCAAGGTTTCCCTATCTGGTGACAGAACCGCGTTGTTAATGGATTTATCCTTTTTAGATAGATGAGCTGTGAGCAATTGGATAATTCTATCTTGCTCGTCGTGTTGGGATGAAGGCAGAAGAATCCTGAAAACATGGGCCCACCACATTGGTGGATGGCCAAAGCAATCAGCAAGGCTGGCATCAATTGTCGGCCAATCCAGCAGCACCGGCACTGCACAAAGCCCCGATGTAACTTCTAGCCTATACCCTCTCCTGGGGTAAGATGACGGGGTTTCTGTTGCTGAAGGTCTCACTGATGGGCGTGGAGAACTACAGGATGGATAAACAGCCCAAGATAATGGTGTTCGGCCGAATTTATCCTGAGTATTGATATCCGCAAGGCCAGACTGCAGGAGTTTTCGTAGCATGGCTACGTGTCCATGCACCATGCACCGCTGCCACCGAAAGTGACGTCTTTTCAGTCAATCTTTTGCAGTCAACCTCGGTGTCCGAGGCCTCAAGAAGAATGTCCACTGCTACTGGCTTATCTTCCTTAACAGCCCAAAATAAGGGCGTCCATTGATATCCATCTCTGGAGCTCACGTCAACGCATCCTGTGCTGAGTAGCACATACATGACCTCCTTCTGCAATTCATCCCAGTCTTGTTTTGGCTTAGGGGAATGATTTAGCTTATATTTGTCTGGTCCTGCGGCCCATGAGAAAGCCGTCCTTCCTTTATCGTCTTTCCCATCTATATCCACCATTCCGCTTTCAATCAAAATTCTCACCATCTCGACTTTGCCTTGTTCGGCGGCATGTGATAAGGCATCTCGCCCGCTTCCATCGCGGTTTGCTACGTTGCAGCCAAGCCCAATGAGCCGTCTAACTGTAGGCCCGTGGTTTCCGGCTACTGCCCAATGGAAGGCACATTCCCCGAAAGAGTTCATCCAATGGCGACTCATTGCATGGTAAAGTAGGACATTAGAAATATCCCGTTTGCCTTCGCTGATTGCAATACGCAGGGCTGTACCAATCCTGGCATCTCGGTTGCCACGATTGACTCCGGCATTGCCGAGCAAGAATTCAAATATTTCTGCTTTTGCACACCTGACCGCATGAATAAGGGGCAGGTAACCATTATTGAGCTTGTAGTTCAAATCAATTTCGCCGGTTTGTTGGAGAAGTTTCAATACTGCTACATGGCCACGTTCAATAGCGTACTCCACCAGAAACAAGGCCATCGAATGACCTAATCGCATCCGAATTTGCTTGCTGCCAACCACATAATGCTTCATGCGATCAATAACATCCGGCTTGAGCAGCGAATTGTCGGCAGAGGTACTTGCACTTGGATCGCAGCCAAGCAGGGCTCTAATCGCAAGCGTGTTACCCGCGTAGACAGCTGCACCCATTGGACTGTGATACCTTCCCATTTCCTTCCACAACGGCGGTGTGCGTAGGAGCTCTAGACGGATGAGGTGGTCCAAATTCAATTCTGCCAGGACATACAGAGCCGTCACTTTAATGCTATATCGGCGGGTGTGATAAGGTTCCAGGGCATTACGGATGTCCTTGAAGTCATGGAAGGACAAAGAAAACGTTTCCAGGAAGGCATCTTGCGAAGTACCTGCAGCCTCGGCCGCATTGCTGTGAGGTAGGAGGCTATGAATAGCATAGTCGAGAAACGGGGCTTCTGACTCGACGTACTTTATCTTTGCTGCACGTGGAGAAGCATAGAGTTTTGGAATATCATCCGCGGCTAACAACTTGAATTGGCATATGTATCGAAAGCAGAGTTGTGCAAGCTCATCATGGGCGTTCCCGACTGCGTTCGCGCCCAACCCAGCCTGAAGTTTGCTGAAACCGTCCCGCCGCAGTAAGAAATCCCGCACTGACTCGTGAATAAAATGCACAGTGCGTGATTTGGATCGGGCGGTTTCAACGAGGCCTTTGGAGATGTTGAGGATGAAATTTTCGATGTGGGGATCAATGTGCCATTCGCCGTCTCTTTTGATCAAGCCATCTTTCGCAAACATGACGGCGAAGTAAAGCTCATCCCTGGATAACGGACGGTGCGCAAATAAAACGAGCTGAAGACAGAAGATAAGATCGCTAATATCGTTGGTGTCTCTGGTCAGCATGTCGGTAAAAGCTCGTCAAGGCCGTCTGGAATCTCATCCAGCCGTTGACGTACGGCGTGGAGTTTGCCCTTGGCGAACGCATCATTCAACGACCGAACCACAAGTGTAACCCAGAGGAATACGCCGGCTGCTCGGGCGCAAATTTCTTCTCTGATTTCTTGGATCATCTTGGACTTGCCCCCTCTTAACTCAGTCTCAACGTACTTTCGCATGTCGCCTTGTTGCTCCTGCTGGTACTCCAGGACCAACTCAATGCCACGTTCAATGTTGAGTTGTGGATAGTGTCGGCTTGCCAGGCAGATTCTCAAATGAACGCCGCATGCGTTCGAAGAGTGTCCCAGGTGCTCGAGGAAGGGTATCATGTCACCCATCTCGCCTTGGTCGCATGCATCCAGAGCATCAATAAAAACAAACACGTAGCGGTTGGTCAGCGACCGGATGATCGATAAGAGCTGATGCTTCAAGTCTCTGATCGTCCAAGTTATCCCGTCATCTTGGCTTAGCATCTTCGCTGCAAGGTTGAAGTAGGGCTGTTTGGCACTTGATGAAATGGCGGTAGACGAGAGAAGTTGGTGCAAGAGGGAACGATACATACCCACAGTGGACCTCTCCAAGTCCACCCCTTGGGCATGGAAGAAGAAAGAAGATATGACTGTGTCAGTTTTAGATCGCTTTGCCTTTGGAAGAAGGTATTTCATGAGCGTCGACTTTCCGGCTCCTGGCTTCCCTTTAATCCAGAAAAAACCTCCGTGGCTTTTCAAATCCTCCCCGCACATCCACGTCTTAAATTCGGGTCGCTCTAATACCCAAGCGCATGTTGTATCGTGGGCATCCAGGATTTCATCCAGGCGATACTGGGCCTGGGGGAAAGTTAGTAAGTCAAGGTACGCTTTTTCCCGTTCGCTACTGTAGACCTCAGAGGGCTCTGCGGGTCTTTTTCGCGGGTTTAACTAGGGAGCCAGTGTATCTGCAGGAAAGTCAAATGACGTTTATTAATGGACGCAGCTAAGCGAGCCTACTTGTAACTAAGGATACAATGGTTGCTTACATACCCTATCCTGGGCCCGCTGATGACGTCGCGTTCGAGATGGGAGTCTGATTTAGGAGAGCACGCATGCAAGCCGCTGCACTTGCAGCGGCGTAATATTGCCATGTATCATTCTTATGGCTATCAGCGTAGTTGCTTACTCCTTTGATCAGGATGCAAGGGACACTGTCCCATACGCCGGCCGCTTCCATCTCAAATCCAAGAACTTCTTCGCGCTTGGCAATCTTGTCTCGATCTTTGGCAGAGCACATCACGGTATCCCCCGAGGCAAGCCGGCCAAAATGGATATAGGGAATCTTATCGGAGTCCACACGGCGGCGGTCCACAACGCTTTCGTCCCCGCTGACAACACGCATACACTGACAGTGTGAGCGATGCTTGTATTCAGGCTTAAATAAGATGTCGCTATTGGGTTCAGGATATGGCACATCCTTGCTATTTTGTATAGTCTGAAGATACTTCCGGTGGGCCTTGGAAATCTCCTCATGACGTGCCTCTAGGGTGGAAATGAATGTCCGGATCTGCTGACTCGCTCGACCTAGATTGGACTCCAAAGTCTTCTTGCGCACAAATCGGTGCGGCAACTTTTTCCCCAAGTCATATTGAATAATCGCGCCGCTGACTATCACATCGCCAAGAAAAACATCTCTCCTCGGTTGTGTTGGACCCACATTCGTCCTGTAAGGCACTCCTCCGCAGATCCCTATCAACAGGGCCAGTTCGATGCCCGGATAACTTTGTTTGATATGACTGGCCACGCTGGATGCTTCGGCTTTCCCACAACCACCCATGTGGGCCAGAACCACATCGTAACGGCCAATGCGGCCCAGCGTATAGTGATTGGGGTCATTCCGCACAGGCCCATATTTCTCATAGACAGTTCTGTCATAGACCTTGTCAAAGAGGGGTATCGCGACTTGCGCCTCCGGGGAAAGTGGGCATATGATTGCGATCACGAAACTAGCACGACTGGAGGGGTGGGAGGCTTCGACTGACATTCTGTGGATATATGGGCAGCACGATAATAGAAATAAAAAGAAAGATGAAGAAAGGTGCTATTCGGGGACCAGTCCGTAGTGGCAGATTCGGTTTGTTTATACACGCCGGCGCATGCGACTATGCCCTATATGGGGAAGGCGCAGCAGCGAGTAAATGTTTTAGCGCAGCTCTGAACTGCGCCTTCCCGCGGGCTAATCTTATCATCGTAATTTGGCTGGCTGCTTGTGATAAAAGAGCTGAGGTGTTTTCCTGCCTTGCGCCCACGACGACTGCCAACCTGTGCTTCCGTTCTTGGCAAAAGCCCTCAGAGTTCGGGGTGCTGCATGTATAGGATTGCATCTATGAAGAAAATTACTGATATTCTACCCCATATCAATTTTCATATGGGTTCAGCTCAATACATACGACCATAGGGTGTGGAAAACAGGGCTTCCCGTCCGCTCAGCCGTACTTAAGCCACACGCCGGGAGGTTAGTAGTTGGGTGGGTGACCACCAGCGAATCCCTTCTGTTGTATGTTTTTCCTTCATAGTTTTTCTTTTTGCCTAATTGGTTGCGACGGGCTGTATGTACCACGTTGGTATTCATCGAACTGGTTGGCGGAACAAGGGACCAGAGAAGGAATCTGAGCATTGACGATCGGAATTCACAAGAGCTGCTTATGCTCGGATTTCCACCAATTCATTCATTGAGGGATATCACACAAGGAGCGCATCAGTGGACCTGAATCAGCCATATTGGTCTGGAGGTTACAATATTTGTGTATAACATTCACAACGCATTTAGTACCTCTCCCGTTGCTTACAATGGAACCAACTCATACTGAGTAGGATAATCCCAAATGAGAGCAATGAGAAACGTAATGTGTTTGCTGCGGTCCAGGACTATCTATTGCATATGTCTATTCCAGATTTGCTATGCGCCGAAAGCCTCAAAAGTTGTTTGCATACACAAGAAAAATATCAAAAAAAAAAAAAAAAAAAAAAAAAAAAAAAAAAACCCCAAAGTACGCCATCTATGTTGCGCACCCTCCTAGGCTTTCCCCATCTTATCCATCCATTTCAAATCTGATGACACCCCCAATAAGAACTTGAAAAAGTTCAAATATGCGAGCCCCGTATATGTAACCGGGACATAATAAGCTCCCCGTCGGATCCACGACATTGTGCACCGCGCAGCCCAATCAGCTGACACAATCGCCTTTCCCATGCGAGAATCGAACGCTGCAGGGACGATATGTCGATATATAACCTTGTCCGACTTGTACAGAGCACGTGCGTAGGGTAAGAATGCTCTCTTAGACGCAGTGTATCGTACCATCTCAGGTCCACCCCAAGCCGGATGCAGTTCCGCTTCGCTGCCGACGTACCAGATTTCTGGTAGAACTTTGGTTCTCTGAGATTGTGCAGACATATGTTGCATGAACAGCTCAATTAAACGGACTGATGAGGTGCAGTTCGAGTCCATGGCATCTGACCCCTTTGTTCCATGCGCGAGAATGATGATATCTGCCCCTTCAAGGGTAGGTCCAACGCGCGAGAAGTCTTCGTTGTTCCAGTCCTTGCCGAACTGCAGCTTGTGTATGCTTTTGACTCCTTCAGCAAGTAATTGCTTCTCCATCGCTTGTCCAAATGCCCCCGATCCACCCGTCATGACCACCGTCTTGTTCTTTAGAGAGTATGCAGTACCCGCAACCCAGTCAAACAGTTTCACCATAGATCCCATATACCGATCTGGGTAGATATGGTGCAAGGAGTGGTACTCCGGTCCCACGAACGCCCAGCTATGATCTTTCGGTACTTTGTCAAGGGCGATATGATTGGAGTCCTGGCCGTTACTGATAATAACAAAAAGAGAGCGAATGGTTTGCACGACGAGGACGAGAGAGAGGGCATTCGTATCGAGGTGTTTAACATGTAAACTCAGGATGGTAGCAAGGATCCAGCCGATAATACTTCCAAGTAATTGACATATTAGCTCGAGGGGAAGAGCAATCAAGGCATTCGGTTTGGCATATCGCTGATTGAATTGAAGGGATCGGGGGTAGTAGAGGTGGTGGTATTGATGACAGCGAGAAAGAAAACGGAGGATTCGCCAGCGAGATCTCGACCATTGGTGTAGAAGATAGTGAATGATGTCAAAGAATATAGTACCAAATATATAGAGGTAAGAAGCAGAAAGGACCAGATTTAGCATCGCCATTCTGTGCTTGCAGATGTGGTAATGTTTGCAGTTGCTAATATTCCGGGGGAGACCATAGTAGTGCAAGACAAGCTACCTCCAGTTATACTGGAGCACATCTGTCTCTTTAATGACACAGCACAGCAGTCCCCCCCCCCCCCCCTTAATTTTTTTCTTTTTTTATTTTCTTTTTTTTTAATCAGGGCTCTGTATATACTTTGCGCCGTTTATGTTGATCTCCTGGAGCTTCTTTGTCTCAGGTTGCACCAAAGTAAGATCCTGCCGAGGTCAAATACGAATACGGAAAGAATGCTCCCCTAGGCTGAGGGCCGGCCACTTAGGGCCCGTTGAGGTCCAGTAAATGACAGCCTGGAGCAGGGACCACGTAGCCAAAGTGGATATACACAGCCATGATTGACTAATATTTGTGGCTGCCTGGGGAGCATCGTGTGGGTTTGCTGGTGGCTTAAGTGCGCCGTACCTGAATTGCGTCTGAAAAGAGGCTAGTGCCTCGCTTCATGGTCCTTGCACGTTTTTTGGACCCTTGCAGACAGTTCTGCCATGTTAAGGTTCTGACCCCGGGATTCATTGCTTAAGCTATGTACAGGATGCTTTGACAAGCTCCAGCTCAGGAAAATGAAATCCAACCTCCGTCTTCATGGCTGTGCTTTGATTCATCTCATACCTGCAGCTGGGAGACACACCCGCCAACCCATCGTCGATCGCCAACTCTCTCCGATTGGCTTATAAAAGATCAAGAAGGCCAAGGCCACTAGTATAAACAACCTAAATGGGCTTCATCCTCGGTGATTTCACGGAGAAAAATAGATCCATCAAAAAGTGTGAGACAATTAAAACACCAAGACTCATAGAATATGTCTGATTGGAGTACAGAAATACTTCTTCACTCAACTGCCTAAAGCAGTAAAGATGACGGCGAGCTAAGTTCGTGACCCGCTCGTAGTTCATCAAATCCTGACAAGGTTGCTGCCGCTGTCTTAGATCTAGTTAGAGCCCAAGGCTGACGCCATCTGCTGTATGAGGTGGAAATACCAGTGCTAAAGGCTCATGGGACACATGTATGGCTTTCTTGATAAAGTCACAAGTGCTGTGGTCTATATCTATGATTTGGGACTGTGCCATTCTACAACCTACAACCCCAGTCCTAGGCCAGATATTACTTGCGAGGAACTGTCGCTCAGTGTTAGAAAGCGAACATAACGTGCGAATGCCTCAAGGGATGAAACCGCCAAGAATGTGCGCCCTCCAAAGATTTGGTACGTTTGAGAACAAGCGCGGATGGACTGTGCTGGGCACCCACATGCGACACGTTCGGGAATTAGCGTGGCAGTGTCAGCCTGGAACTACAAAACCTACTTATTGAGATAATTTTAGAGGAACCCTGACTCAAAATTAACTCGTACCCGTGATCATTTAAGCTAAAACTGATTAAACTTAAAGGTTAATTATTTAACCGGTCTAGCCTCTGCACGTGATATGAAATAATACAAAATTGAAAACTAAAGATTAAAGATTAGAATAAAATCAACAAAATCGAAACTATACTAAAATAAAAACACGAAAATCCTACAACCTCCTTTAATACTCCAAAAAACTCTGAATATCTCTGAGACACCTTAGAGAATTGGTTGAAATAGGATATGTAGATTACAAAATGTTTCTGATACAGGATGACTGATTTGGAGTCAAAGCTGATCATCTAACGCTAACATTGGATTATCTTCTTACATAACAGAAATTCCTTGATATTTACAATCTTCCTAAAACTGCCATAGTAATCTCTGAACCTACTGTATTTGAGGCCCTAGGTCTGCTGTCTACTTTGCTGTGCAATCCAGATTCTCTATACGCGAGTACACCCATCTTTCGAACTCGGTCAGCAGTTCAATAGCACTTTGATCTCCGGTCGGTATAAGCTGAGAAAGGTATATCCCAGCAACTCCTTTTTTGATGTCAATCCACTACAGTATGTTAGTCAAATACGATTGGTTAATTATAGGTATTGGATGACCAACCCAGTAACAATTTGGTTTTCCCGACCACGAGAGCGAATATGCTTCTCGACCCTGCGGGAGTCTGGATCTGTTGAGCAGGCCACCGATCCCAAAATCCACCGGTGTGTCACATGGGATAGCATTCCATATGGCATTGCGCGACGCCAACGAATAATCTTCCGGCTTTTCGAGGCCCTGAACACTCTCCAGATGAGGTTGGAACATCTCCTTAACGGTCTCGGGACGCAGCAACTGTGCCGTAAGTATGCCTTGACAAATTTTGAGCATTTCGCTCAATGTTGTATATAGACCGCCTCCTCCTACATCTTCAGCAATGGGGTCGAGGAAGATTGGATTCTTCTCTTCTTCCAGTCCTTGATCTGTTCGCGTCCAAGCTTTGACCTTGCGGGCTCGTAGGTCTTCTCTCTGCTCGAGATGGAACGTTGCATCCTTCACGGAAACAACATCGAAAACATGGCGCTGCAAGTAGTCGCCTAGCTTCATAGAAGTGACTCGCTCAATCTTTTTAAATCATCTATTGTCAATTTATAAAATTCATGAATAATGCGGGACGTTGGAACCTACTGCTACTCCTGCCCAGTCAATAACAGGTGAATACATCCATCGTTCTCCCGGTTCGAAGAGTAAGAATTGGTATTGGCGTAATGTCTGGACCACGGGTGGGCTTCCCTGCAGTTCGTGATAACGAGTCATGAGAGGATCCATGAAGAAGTACCCCATACCACTGGAGTGGGTTAACATGCGTCTTGTAGCCGTTAGTACACCTGATTCAAATATTGCATCAATCCGGAGAGAGAGTGAGATACCGTAGAGTAATAGGTTTGGTGGCTGCCCGAAAGATAGGATTATCATTTTCGTCGAAGCCCGTCAAGATTTGAGGACTCGCCCACTCCCGTAATACGTTGGCGACATCTCCATCCAGGTCTAGTAGACCGCGCTCGACACACTGCATTACTGCAATGGTAGTCACCAATTTGGTACACGAGGCCACCCAATGCACGGCATCTGTATCGGTGGATTCTATAGATTCCTCTCCAAATGCCTTAGCATAGTGCAAGGAACCTTGGTTGTATGGTGTAAGCAAGCAGTACGTATACAGAAGGGAAAAGACATAATCAGTTTTATCTGCTCATACCATCACGATTGATAGCTCCTAGTGTAACCCGTGGTAGGGGCTTCCTGCCATTCTCAGACGACTGACGGAGCAAGTTTACCTTCTCTTCAAACGAAGTCATTATGGCAGATGAACGTTGCGGATGACAAAATCGGTCTGCAATCCAGTATTTCTAGTGACGAACGCGTTTTTCCTTGAGTTACGTGAAAGAGTTCTAATATTCACACCAAATCCACCACCGTTACACTCCAGCAGACAGGCTTTTTTTCTACCATATCCCGCTGGGATGCGATGGGAAAACCGCCGAACCAGTCAAAGTAATCCTCGAGTCCCAAGAATATCAACAAATGCCAGGGCTCGCGATCTGACCCAATGAGGAAACTTTCTTTGCCCTAAATGGAATAGATTGCCATAACCCCATGTAATATTTCCCGCTTTTCCTCGTACTCCGCAAAGTGCCACATGTTTCGATAATAGTTCTGTTATTAGATACCCATTGATAAAGTGAGACAAAACGGGGAACGCCGTTGCCTTAGGGTATCCGCTCGCTCTCGAATTTTTTGCCTATTTCGGTCGGTTCGCGATGATCGTGGCTCGGGCGAAAAAGTGATTGGTTGATTGGGCGGAGAATTTTCGGCCGCCCCACGCGCTTTCAGAGACAATGCCAGACGCGGACTGACAGAGTCAGAGCTATTGCGCGGACCATCGGGATATCCAATTATTAAAGTCATACCTGGTGTTGGAGCCTATTACAGGCAACAACACCAACATTAGTAACAGGCCTGCTCTTGTTTAGATGGCCGAGATTGGCATTTTCATTCACGATCAGGGGTGGGAACTCTCACCTGGACGATATCGCGACTAATGCCAAGTCGTGGACGCGGCTTGATCTTAAGGTTAACAGGCCGCCTCGATGGAGGTGGGATGGCATTAGTTTGGTGTGTAATGCACCGGTTGATTTGCAGATGAGGCGGTTTCGACCTGGGATCCCGAGCCATAGTGCGGAACATCCTTGGGTGAGAAAGCTGAGGGGAGTTGGGTCATAGTGGGTTATCTTTAGATTTTTACTGATCCGTAATAATTTGCGTATGACAGATGTTAGACCATGACTATATGAAGTCAATTTTAATGTTAGTGTAGTAATTCAACATATCTAGTATTAGGGCGGGGGTGGGATGTAAAGCCAAGAGTTGATTATTGCTGTTGCAGTCTAAGTCTAATAGTATGTAGCTCTATCTGTACAACTGTTGAAGAAAGAGAAAGTATACAGCATGAACAGAATCGAAATCAACAAAAAAAGGTGGGTCCAGTGAGTGCGCACAGAGTATATCTCAGGCCAGTCAACTGGGAAACGAGCGACACGAAGAGAAAAGCAAATAGACAATCTTCTAAAGATCGTACAATGAACAGTGAAGTTGAAAGAAATTTGAAAGAGATTGGAATTTGAAATATATGATGTTGAAGGGTAAAAGGAATCCCGAACTGCCATCACACAGTTGGGATGACACAACGTACACAGATCACTTAGACACCATCTTGCCCTTTGGCACACGAGCCAACCAGTAAACACCCACCGCCGCGACGATGTTGAAGGCGATATACACCCACATCAAGCCAAAGTTGCGCCAGGCATCCGAAAAGTAACTAACCACTTGAGCAAGGAAGGTATCCGTGCTGCTCATAGTGCAGAACTGGCAGTCTGATGTGGCCGATGGGTTCAACAGGTAACCCCCATTGGCGCTGATATACGACGACATATAGTTCTGACACGTCTGGTTTCCGGGCGTGTTGAAAGACAAATACTCGACGGCTTCGCATGTCACAGTGGTCCCAGCAAGGCCTGTTGAGAGCATTGCAGATACCAGGTACGT